GGGGGGGGGGGGAGGCTGTTTTTTCTAAATATGAAGGGGGAAGGGGACTAGGCAGAAGGGTTATATTATTTATGTATACAAGCGCGGTCTATTACCGCGCTTTATATAGCATTCTTATCAGTTACTATAAAAAATGCGGTTTGTTACATCATTTTATATAAAACGCGACCGCGTTTAAGGTAAAATGCGATTCATAATTGCGTTTTATATGGAAATGTAATTTATTTTTTTACACTCAAAAATATATTTTGAGTCCAAAAGAACCACGTTTCGATTCCGGACTCATTTTCTCCGGCCTTTTATTAACAGGGTCAAAGTCTAAATGTATGCACTGAATTTGCTTTTTTATTTGTGCAAATCATCTGAAGAAGTGACTGATTGGACCTTTATACTAACGGCCCACAAAACCGACGCATATTGATAAGTTGCGGCAAAAATGGTTAAAAAAAACAATTAACCACCGTTATTATTTAGGGTTAGATTATAAACTTTTTAAAAATGGGTCAAATATGAATAAAAATTATATTATCCATTTAGAAAATGAGTAACTAATGAATTTAAATTGGAGGTTTTTAAGTTTGGGAGACTATGAATTCTCCCAAAAGTGATCATATTCAAGAAGTCATGGATAAACTTTTTTAATCCGTGTTAAATATGGGTCGGGTCTGATAATTTATCCGTTTTTCATTACATATTTTTAATCCGAACCATATTCGACTTGACTCGCCCGTTTGCTGCTCCTGATATTGATTATTGGACTTTATATCATCAAAGCCCACAAACTTAAAACAGCAAAATTCCTGGTTGGTCAATGAAATTTCAAGGTACTGTAGATTCGATCACAGTAACAATGCCTGGTGAAACAACTAACAGAGCAGCAAGCAAGTAGAAATTCAATCCAAACGACTTAAAAAGTCAACAACCACCGGAAGAAAATTATGAAAAGTTTTGACTTTTTATTACTGTTTGTAAACGAAACCGAAATCAAGGCCTGTTCAAATTTTGAACATTGTAAAATGCAACAACAATATAAGATAAATAATCAAACTCCCCGGGGCAACCACAGTTGCTAAGTTATTTTTCCTATTACCCCGACCCGTTATACCAATGAAACTTCCTAAAATCAAATCTTTAGGAATCCAATTGCACATAAAGTTAGTAATAACTGTACATGCCCCTTTCCCCTATTGTTGTTGTGTCTGCACAAGAAAATGGGCAGGCTCACACTTTGCTGCATAACCAAATTTAGATGTGCTGTACTTCCTATGTACTCCTGTTAGTTTTCCTGTTGCTGCCTTCTGGTGATAGCTCACAATCGATCTCGAACACTCCCTAATGAACAAGAAGCAAAAAGGTAACTAAATAAGAGCAAGCTTGAGAAGTGAGTGTGAAGGATTGTTCAAAATGGAGAGTTTAAGTACACTCACATAAGTTGATCTTCCGAGTAACTAGTATGCCACTCGCATGTCTTACTCCATTGCTGGACACCGTAGAGTGTGGTCTGAGCTGTATAGATTGCTGCAGCTGCTATGAATGATGGTGGAAACTTGAGCATTTCATATTCCACTAGACAAAGCTCAACCAAGAAGAAAGACAGCAGCTCGAGCTGTTTGAGCCAAGAAAGTAAGAAGTTGAGAAATATTCTTGGAGAGTCGGCTATATAAATCATAACTATTCATGTCGCTCCATTTACAGCTCACCTTAAGTCTAATATCATATAGAAACAATATAAGTACAAATAAAAAGAATCAGTAGAAGTTCCTATATTTTTTACTAGCACATAAAAGTGTCGGCAACAGCTACTAACCTTCCTATCAGATTGAGCAGCCTTAAGATATCTTCTCATAAAAACATATGCAGTTGGAACTGACATGTTAAACTGCAGTGTGTTGAGCATCATTCTTTCCTGCATTATATTGAAAAGACTATCTTTAGTAGAATATTAATTAAGATACCGGAAATATACTAATTGCAAGTATCATGGGACCAGAATCTACCATTTCAAGAACCTCCTTCCTTGAATAGGCTTTGTCCGAAATAAACACGAAATCATCCACTAATGGAACAGAAACTTCCTCATATTTGCATGCTAATAGCATGGCAACCAACCCAACAAGCTGCAACTTCTTCCTAACAACACCTTGCTTCTCCAAAAATCTATCTATCAAATTAACAGTCAGAAACAAAGTCTCTTCTCTGAGCTCAAACTTGTGATGTACCTGTTGATCAAAATGAGCAAGTATTAACGCCATACTTTGAGCAAATTTATTACGTTCTGCATATCCTATATAAATCTTTACTATACCTCAATGAGCCAGTCAATTAGAATGGATCTCATTTTCTCATTGATGTCAAACTGTTGTGCCATATAATCCGGAGAAACACAGCTACAACCCTGAACATAAGGTACAATGATTTTGTCACTCCCAAAACATATTGAAGATTATTCAACTCATAAGCTGAAAAAAGGTTCACTATTAGACTTACTAACATAAGATGAAAACTTCAAAACAAGTTTGAGAACCACAAATATTCAGTGTTTGATCATATAATGTAAAATTCGTAAAAGAACTGTGGGCAATGGACATGCCAAAGAACTTTCATTAGTTAAAACACGTTGAAATGTTTTGTATTTACTACCAAGTACTCAAAGAGCTCCGACTAAGGATGTTGAACAATGGACCTATAAGTTCAAAAATCAATCCTTTTCGCATTTCCAAATATTTTTTTTCAGTAAGTTCAAGAATTACTGTTAAAAAGTGCACAAGTAATTTCAGTAATAAAGAAGATCCAGCTTCCTGTAGGCTATATGGGATACAACCCATAGCATTTTGGCCTTTTTTACATGTCAAGTAACATAACTCGTTAATTTTAATTATTTTCATGAAGACTTTCAGTAAACACAGATGCTACCATTTGAAATCAGTGTGTAAAAACTTTTCCTTTTTGAAAAAGCAAAATAGAATCTATCCTAGTAAAGGTGATATACATAAACAGTGGAAAAAGATGTGATATGTCGGATCTAACTTATGAACTTTCTTTTTTCCAATCTTTTTAAACAACTGCTGGACATTCAAAATGTATCATAACCTTACTACAATTGAAACTCTCCTCAGAAAAGCTATAAACCTTGTGCTCCTACAAAATTTGGATCTATGACTACTGCTAACTAGTAAAGTAATTACTGAGCAAATTAAACTCACCTCCATTTTTCTATAGGAGGCAAACAAATCTTGTACATATTCAACAACTGCAAGCGGGTTCTTTGCATCGTCGCCATCAATATCTATAATAGTTTCCTCAAATATATCCTCCATTTCTACCTCCTATAACATTTATGATAGTTGCAATTAATATAGTTGCATGATATATACTAGTAGTATAAAAGTTTTTGGACAGCAAAAGTTTTTTCTTACCATTTGATTCTTGTCATTAGTCACTGTTTCTGTTTGTTCCAAAGACATAGGAACAGGTTGATCTTTAGCTGCCTCATTTTCCTCCACATCTGTCAGAGGGATATCCTCCCATATACTGAATTCTTCTGCTGCTATTTTAGCTTTCTTGTTTTCCTGTTCAAAAAATCAAAGATATTATTAGTCCCAGAATTATTTATGAAAAAATATCAACTTTCTGAGACATCAATTAGGAGAAAATATATTTTCATACTAAGGAAAGGAAAGCTTTTACCTCGGAGCGATTTTGCTGAGAGCTAGCAATTTGAGCTGCAAATTTCCTACATTTATAAAGTTATATTCACCTATCAGTTATTTGATCTGAAAACCAAATTCAAAAAACCAAAAAGAGAACAAAGTTCGAATTTTTAATTGTCTAACCTCGTGATAGGTCTATGAGCTGGAATTTGAAGATTCTTGTCACAGATTCCATTTGCTCTAAAAGGAAAAAAAAAACAAACCAGCCAAATGAGCTAAGATAAAAAAAAAAAAAAACAAAGCCAAAAGATGGTCAAAGAGTTTGAATATCTAAGAGATAGAAGCTGGGGAATTACTCAGATAATCCTCTCTTGTTAACAACACAAGGAAATGGATGAGTACCACCCACTAAATTCTGATTAATCACTCCCAATGCTCTTCTGTTGTTTCTTGTTTCCACTCC